GTGTATCTACATTGTTGTGTGGGTACTTTAACTTGCAGGACCTGAATGCAACAGGTTGCCCTCACACTATCCACCTTTATTTGTCCTTCTATTTTTAAACATAAACTAAACATAGTCTGTTCTGCATTACTGGTGGTTTTTGTGGTTCCTTTCAGTTTTTAAGGAAACGTTCACCGATCAGACTGTTCCCAGTCGACCCACATGACAAACTTGCTCATGAGTAGACGCCCAAAGTATAAATCTACGATGATGAACAAGGCATTTTTTATTTTTTTTGCTCTTAAAACAATTTGACAATCCCAAACTTGATTTAGGCACATTCGACATGGATGACTCACTTCCTAAGGTGTCGACACAGGCCACACCTGTGAACTCCCTCAGAGCAAATACACTGAGGTAAAAAGACAATTATGGCACCTGACAGGGTTAGCAGTTCCATTACGTAGAGTAAGCATTTGTTTATCATGGTAACCGCTTAGTAAACAGAAAACAAGAGGGTATAATCAATGTGACGGAGTCTAGCCCAGTCTTCATTCAAACAGGTAGGCCCACATAGGTGAAGACACTCCTTTCTAAGAAGATGTAACTAGAAAGCAACGTGGACGAAGATGGAAAGTGCGGTTACAAGACATATTCATGACAGGACAGTAATAACAAAAATACCAAATCTGTCAAGGTTATTGAATTTGTTCACCAGAAAATAAAAGGCTCCTCTTGGGAGTTGTGTGATATAATACATGTATAATACTTACATGACTAAAAAACGATAGAGTGAAAAGAAAGAAAAGAAAGTGACTAAACATTTTGTGGTAAGCGCTCAGCAGTTTTTGTGTAATCTTGCTAACTAACAAGCAAACACACGGCCAGGGATGAAAATATAACCCTGGCAGAAGTTTTGAAGTTACCATGAAACTTGATGACAAGCACCAGATCATACGTGATCAATACCTCTTTGAATGTTTTTAACTTGAGTTTAAAAATGCTTATCCAGGTTTGTTTTTGTGCATTAGAGTCACCCACTGACCTGATGTTACTTTTTGATCTTTAAAGCGTTTCAAGTCTGATGCCACACCAGGAGTCTGGGACAAAAGTTTGTCTTTACTGACCTTTTAGAAGCTATTACTTCTGTGAAGGAGCAATAAGGATATCAGGTGATACAATATTGTCCAACAGGAATACAAGTATATAAATATAAAGTTATATAAAGTTTGCTATATTTAACAAGGGTGTGTTTTATAGCTTGAGAATTTTGTATTTGTTAAAAGTTACAAACTGATTTAACACTGAATAACTTATTTGTATTAAAACAACTGTTCAGAAAAGTTGAGACCAATTGCTGTTATTCCTCAGTTTCTGACCTTTTAGTAATGTAAAAGATCCTAATGACATATCACTGCTAGTCAACGATTATTGTACTGATTTCCTCTCTCAGAAGCTTTCCAGGCTGAATCACACGGCCACATGTGCAGCACTCACAGTCCACATCCACACTGACCCTGCTGTGAGTCATTGTATGGTCTCAGGTCCACTGAGACCCTCACCACCTCCCTCCACCCTACCAAAAAACAACCAAACAAGGCAGTTTTGCTGATGACTCACCTACGTCTGAGATATTTTGAAACTGTTTTCTCACTCTGCAGCCTGAGACGAGCCCTTCCTATAACCCCACACACTCGCAAAAGGGCCGAGTTAGTGTGCAGGATTTTTTTGGGGCCTCCTCTGAGATGTTTTTTGCTGAATCAAACTTGAGCACACACCCTGTGACAGCGAGCAGATGAAGTCACCGGGCAAAGTCTGGACGATAGTAAAGCTGACTGGCTGAGAGAGAGACACCCTCAGTGCTCTGGACCATGTGGAGTTTATTAAGTGTTGGCGCATGAGTTATAAAAAGTGTTGTAAAAAGCGAGCTGGTGGAGGGAAAATCCCCCCGGACATTGACGACACTGACTCACAAATTAAAAAATTATCTTGATGAATCAGTACAAATAAAACCTCCAGACTATTAGAGTTGATTCAACTTCACATGTGTCCATTCACAATATACTATGATTATCAGTGTTTACATTTAGGCTGCGTACTGTTATGACAAATATCAACTTACGAAACCAACTTCCCCCAACCCTAACATGGGGGTAAAAGTGGTGCAAACCATTCATAGTGAAACTAGCTCTCAAAACTGAAAACTACCAATTGAGATCTGCATGAAAATATAAGCAATTGTAAATATCCTGATAAGACCCCGACGAGGAAACATGCGTCTTTCACAAAGGATATTTAAACATGACAAAGAATTGAATAATCAAATTTGGCCCAAGAGTCAAGACCCATTAGTCCCTTTAAATTAAATCAAGCTGCACCCAATTGCACACACTCATCAATATCTGTTCACCTTAATGTACCAGATTCACCAAGATCCTTGAATTATTCCCAGGGAAATTAATGGAAATGTCCCAAAAGAATTCTCTCAATCTATCTCACAATGTAGAATAAAAAGAATCCTGGATCTGCCTTCTGATCAGCAAAATGTTCCTGGTTCTTCCCTAACACTCAAATCCTTACACTGAGTTTCATGAAAATCCTAAAAAATTTGACAATGTTAAACAAAGTATAAACGCCAATGTTAAAAGAATAAATGTAAAGAAGATGATTTATAAAAGTTTGAAAAAACATAGAGTAAGGATTAAAAAAAAGAGAGAAATATTTCACAAAATCAAACAGCATAGTTTGCAGCTGTTCATTGGAAACCTTATCTAATAGAAATAAAATAAAATAATACTGTTATTTAATCAGAAAACATTTTTCATGAATTGTCATGGCAAGTTTGACCAATTAAATGTTTTTTTATTCCATCCAATTTTTGAAAGTAATTTTACTATCTAATTCACTTAAATGGAGTTGCTAATGTCTACATGATCATTTTCCTATTCAGTAAAAAAAAAAAAAAAAGGTTGTTTTATATTTTATGTCTCTGGATTTAAAGTGTATTTTAACTGTCAAGCTTGTTCACTGATGTTACTTCTAGATGCTAATTTAATTTCATTATCACATCTCATTTTTATTCTCAATTTAACTCTTTTGAGTTTCTTTTTAAATGCGTCTTCTTTCTGATGCTTAAGCTGCATTTACAATTTGTCCTGATGCCTTTCATAGTTTATGTAAAGCACTTTGAATTTATTTGTTGTTGAAATCGGTCTTAACTGTAAAGTGAAAATGGTTATTTGGCATCATAACTCAAATCATTTGTTGAAACTAAAACTTTAAAATATATTTAAATGAACTAAATTACTTACTTCCATTTCCAGAGAGAAAGAAATGATGAATGATGGAAAAAAGGATTTCATTAGTAATCACGCCGGTCAATAGAAAGAGTTAGTTAGTATTCACCCACTCAAACTGGAGGTGTGCGAAATAATAACCCACTGCTGTTTGCACCAGAATTAGTTTCCCGTAAAAAGGAAACAAAGGACCTGGAAGAGTGACACACACTTCTGAGGAAAGCTCAGAGATGGTGTTGTGGATAATTTGAAGGGTCTGTAAAGTCTTGAAATAGCTGATGTGGAAAAATGTGTGAACATCTGTAGGGGGGGCTAACATAAGTTGGAATACTTAGACTTAACAATCAAAGTTGGTCTAAGCTTATCTTGTGCAGTGTCATGCTTGTCTTGTCATGTTTTGAAATCCAACCCTGTGAGATCCCACCCACACGCTGCTGCCCCTCGTTTTCTGATACATATGTTTTAACAGTGGCCTAATGGGATTGATTAGTTTTAATATCACGCCATTTTGGTTTTGGGGTGCTTCCATCCATGTCGGGCCCCCAGTACCTGTGCCCCCCCCCCCCAAGCCACCTCTTCAGTGTTGGTGCACAGCCTGATGTATCCTGACTCAAGGTCGGATCACGCAAAGAGCACATTTCTGGTATCAGCTCTACCTTGGAAAACCCTGTCTGTTATCTCACATCAAAAACTATACAGTGAAAACAGGGAAGGCTGACAGATGTCTGACTCACGTTGTTAAATATTTCTTGTTAATTTCGAGGAAATATAGTGTGTCAAGTTAAACTATGAGACAACAGTTCTTAGGAAATGAAAAAAAAAACTTGTGGGTGGTTTGTCAGAACAGCACCACTGCCTTTTCTAAAGTTAATCCCTAGAGGGCGCCCTAGTCCACAGCAACTCATCCTCGTACATACCGGAACTACAGGACGGAGACAAAAAGCAAATCATTGCCCTTGTAAGGAAACAACATGGAGGATGTTTCACTTCTACTCTACAGAGCTGATTGCTTCTTCATATCATCACTGAGGCCACCTGCTTTGAAAATGATGTGTTTTCATTGCAGCTGAGTTTGCTATTTTTGTGTGGAAGTGATCATAAATGGAAGTGCAGTGAGTCTTTCTTACAGAAAATTCAAAGAGGACAAAAAGGAAAGAGATGACTGAAGACTTGGCCAAGTTTGCATCCTGCTGCACAGCATTGCACGGCTCGGAAGTATCGACACAGATTCGAGCATTTAAAAGATTCTCTGAATCCTCCAAAATGAGTTTGTGTGTGAATGTGCAGGGATGTGTGCTGGAGAGGTTTATATTTGTGTGTCACTGGATTAATATGTGATACGATTAAATAATGCACACATGTAACAGAGCACATTAAACTCACAAGAGAACAATTTTACGAAAGAACAAGATTGATGCAGCACAGGTGGAAATATCCTGACTTTTATCTTGTAGCATTAAGTCAATGTTCTTTTTCCCATAATGCAAAGCAATTTTTGACTCCTTTTTCCCCAAATGGTTTATAAAAGGAACATTTTCCGCAGATGTAACGACATTTGAGTGTTTATTGATATATCTTTCAATTGCTCGAATACAATGAAACATGAGACAAATCATTTTACAATATAGTTATGTGATAGATTTACAAAATAACTACAAATTTATGTGTAAATGCACAAGTAATGATGGTAATATAAGACCAGCAGACACGTTGTTGCATATTTCAATTATCATCTTTATTTGATATATTATATACTTTGTGTTTTTACATAAAGAGACATATTTCTTTTACACATATAGATTATATCGGTTAATTTGTATCTGTATATATGTACACCTTAAATAAATCTTACATTAACACCAAGAAAATAAAACATTTACAGTGCAAGAATGTTCACCAGTGGCCAACTCTCACGGTCGCTTACCCTGGAAACCACAATCAATGCCACGCTCACGTGCTAAACCGGTTTTAGCTTTTTATCCTTTTTTTAATTCTCACCATTCATGCTCTCACACAGAAAACTTCATGGAAACTTTAGAGAAAGAAAGAAAGTGTTGTCGTGAAAGGAGGTTTTAGGAAGTGCACAGATACAGAATGCATATGTGACCATAGTGGTAGAGGGTCAACCATACTTGAACAAATGACCTTTTCACTTGTATCAGCAGTAGTTGTGAAAATGATATTCACTTTCTTGCCAAAGGTGAGAAGAAAAGACTGATGCCACTGTCATGTCTGCACGCTTGCAAATAATTAGCTTTCTATAGCAGGAAACAGTGAAAGAGCTAATTTGTTTCCTCCTGTTCCCAGTTCTTCAGCTAAGCTAAGCAGCTAACTTCTTATTTATTATAGACAATAGAGTGCTAATGTCTTTACGATGGAGTATTAGAAAACCTATACTAAGTATAACTTAACAATATTAAATTCCTCATTTCAACGATTTTACGAAGTTATTCTTGTAAAATTATGACTTCTTGCATCATAATATTACAACTTTCTTTTTTTTTTTTTAAGTGGCCCTACTTCTCCAGCCTGATTCTAAATAGAGGTGAGATGAGACCATGTTAAGAGGAGCGTGTGGGCACTCTGATTTATTGGCGAATGGGCACAGGAGAATTTCTCATCCTGGAGGCCTTCAGTTGAATCCTGTTGGCGGAAGATGTTTGAGGAAATCTACAAAAATGAGAGCACACAGCGAATAAGGGTTTAAACATATGAGTTTGCTTTGTGCAGGGATTGTCATTTTGTTTTTCCTGTGTTTTTGCAAACTGTAGAAAATTATCAGCATCACTGAATCCGAGGTGGGTACGAGGTATTTTACACCCTCCTTTCTCACCAGAAACTGAATGGGCACATTGACAGTTTTATGTTAATCGGATGTCGAGAAGTCTAAAAATAAAGAGCTCACGTGTTGTGTTTTGCTCACAATAAACAAAAATTGAATAAATCAAAGTCAATTAAATACATGTTGGTTTATATTTACAAAGTAAAATCAATGTGTTCTTGGTGTTCATCTCTGAATGGATGCATAAAAGTGAACATACATGGTTGGATAAGCTCAGCTGTACAGTCGGTGGGTAACCAGCCCAAATTCCTCGCATGCATTTGTTCCTCACGCACACTCTGAGAATCTATTTACTAGTATTTTACAGTTACAGATACAGTATTCCTACGAAGCTGCTGTACAGTGGCTGTGTTGAGGTAAAGCGGGTGTTTCTGGCCGTGGAGCTAACGGGAACAGGGTTGTAGGTCCGATTTAGGAGAAAAGGTCGGGGGGGTCGTGGTGGACCACGTCATACACATGGGTGAGGGGGTGCAATTCTCAGCGGTGACACGCACGGTATATTGCTGTTAAATCTGTGTTCTCCACATTCTATGCAGCTTAACGAGAGGTTGTGATTATGGTTTGTATATTTTTTTTTTTTGTGCAGGTAGTTGCAGCATCGAAGGAATGGTCGTTGTGTGATGACTCCAAACGCACACATGCACACGAAAGCACCTTTGATCAGAGAAAGAAATTGCACAAGTTCGATAGATATCGTTGACCATACATGTTGACATTTTCTACACAGAGACTGAGCACTGGTTTGCGTTAGGAAGTTGTGAAACATGTCAGATAAAGGTTTGGTGTACGACTTCTCAAATGTTGATTGGTTGCCTGTGTTTTTTTATTTTTTTATTTAACATGCAGTTGACTCCTTGAAACTACGACCCCAGGAGCTTGAGTTGAGCCCAGTTCTATCGTGAACAAAGCGCTAGACATTTACTAATCTAAACCAACCATGACGCTTAAACACTGTTCTTTTCAAATATGTTATTTTTGACATCAACTTCATTATGGAGCTTTAATGAGCCTGAATTACTCATTGCTCTTTTTTATTCAAAGATATCGAAAGCTAGTGTATATTTTGAGAGGCTAAATGTCAGTTTTCTCACTGTTATCAGTCGGTGTTTGTGAAGCATGAAAACGTCTGTACAATCAGAATGTGTGTGTCCAGGGGAGAGAAAAAAACAGAGGAGCAGATTGTCAAGAGGACTCTACACCGTCTAATACTGCTACAGTACAACTACTGCTACTTTTATATATTTCATGAAAATGAATCCAAAAAATGAAAAGGAATCCTCCGAAGAAACATTCAGCGGTGAAAAACAACATCTGGCGGGGAGAAGGGGAAAGCTTAAACCTGTCACTCAGACAGAGCACAGATTCATTTAAGGAAAAAAAAAAGAAATAAAGAAGAATTTTGTCTGTCAAGCAAGAGTCTTTCTTCCCTCAGGTGCGGAGCCCACAGGAGAATCTTGTTGCTGAATACCGTCAGACAGGAAACACAAAGTTTTCATCCACGCAGTCCGTCATTCCCCCAAACTCCTCTTCAGACAGCATCTTAGTCTGTTGAACTAGTTCAAATATGCTCACGATTTCAGCTCAATCACTGCATTTACAATTAAGAGTTTTATTCAGTGGCTCTTTAGTTGTTGTTTTTTACCCCCAAAGTTCACAGGAGGTCGTTCAGGCCTTCTAGTGACACTAATGGCATGCATAATGTTTCTATATTTGGCTGATACACCCATAATCCCCCTCACTTGCCAATTTAATAATTATAATAAATAAAAGTCCACTCAAGTTCGGCCTACGCTTAATCAGCCAAGCCAAAGTCTTGTGCCCTTTTTGGTTTAACTGCTCCCCGCCACCACCTGCCTCCTGATAATATCAGTCCTTCTCTGTTTTTTCTCTATATTCTTATTTTAATCTCTCATCCAGTTCTTCTTTTATTCAAGGGTTAAAGGATCATAAAGGTCAGGTGAGAGTGATGGCAGACAATAAAGATGGCTGTAGTGGTGGTGGTGGTGGTAGTGGTGGCGGCGTGGGAGAGGAAGTCGGTCCCCGGCCGTCCTTCAGACAGACACTGGACAGGAAATGACCTTGTCCTCCAGCATGACGCTGAGCACCAGGAAGACGAAATACAGCATGAACATGATGAAGCCGAGCAGCTTGCTCATGCGCCACTTGCACGCGGCAATGGAGATGATGACGAAGAGGAGCATGAGGAAGAGGAGCACGATGGCACAGAAGAGGCCGTTGGAGCTGACTTGCACCGGTTGCAGGCCGTTGAAGAAGGACCAGAGGAGCCAGGGGAACGGCAGTCTGCAAATACACACACACACGTTGATCTTTAGAGTAACTCTGGGACATGAATGTGTTTTTTTTATTCAAAAGCATGATCTTTCACTTTGAAAGCAGGACTTTCACAATTTAATTTTTTTAACACTCATTCAAAACCCTGCACTCGCACACTGCCTGTGCTTAGATTTCCGGCACTCCAGCTTCGGCTAATCTCTCAGGCACTGAGGCAGCAGGAAAATCTAAGCACAAGCGGGTATATTTGAGTTCGATCACAGGTTTTGCAGTGAGAGCGTTACAAAATAGATGAAGGGTATAATATAGTATAATATTTAAGCACTATATAGCAAGATCATGTGCAATTATACATTTACCTATCTAACTAAACAATGTATCCATGTTCCCAGGATTCATAATATTACAAAAATAGTTTTTAAGTTGTTGAATTACAAACATTTTGCATGTATACGTGATTTGTTATCAGAATAGACCTGAGCACCGGTTGCCAGGTAAAAAAGGATCTCATTTACTTTCATGTATAACCTCGAGACAAGAAATCCAAAAACATGGCCTTAAAAATAGTAAGTACACAGACTCGTACCCGACGGTAATGTCGAAGATGTTGGAGCCGACAGAGCTGGAGACAGCCATATCACCCAGCCCCTTGCGTGCCACAATAACACTGGTGATGAGGTCAGGGATGGAGGTTCCAGCTGCTAATATAGTCAGGCCCATAATCTCTTCTGTAATCCCAATGGTCTCTCCAACCTGTAAAAAAAGGAAAAGAAAACAAGGCAACTAAGCTTTGGGGTAAATAAAATCTAATCTTGTATTGCAGCTATTTTCAATTTCCTTGTGCTCGGGAGCTGATGGAGGTGACAAAACTCTGGGCTCCGACAACCCATCTGTTTTGAATAGGGCCGTTGTTATTATTTATTAGTGGGTGGATTATAGAATGTGCTTCCATTTTAAATGTCAAAGATAGGAAATTGAGAAAAAAGACAGCTGCATCTTTTTTGACTTGGATTATGTTTAAATGAGAAAACTATTTTTGCTGTTGGACTGCTATGACCGCACGGCATTTAGTCGTTTTGACAGTGCCGTGTCCTTAGTGGTACACAGGCATTCGAGAGCTCTGTACCTGGTGAGCCCACCACACCATTAGGTACGAGAAGCCTGCGATCCAGCAGATGGCACCCACAAAGGTGACGGGGAAGAACTTCTTTGACGTCTGAAAGACAAGAAGAAAATGAGTTATCCAGTTTTTTGGTGCGGAGAATTTAATTTGTCTTAGTCACACACACACGCACCGGTTTCCTGACATCAGGCAGCGTAAGCCACAGGGGGAGGACGATGGGTATGATTAAGAGGTAGGTGAAGCGCTTGCGGTTGGATTCGGGCCAGGACAGACTCAGAGGCTGGTCCTCTTCCTCCTCATCCTCTGCCTGAGACGAGATACCAAAGACAGAGAAAAAAAAGATATAATACACCTCAGTTTATTTCCGTCCGTAATGTTCACATCATTTTATTTTACCATATGGGAATAATAGGCAAAAATAAGGCTTTGAGTTTGAGTCAACTTTTTTGGGATCCACCTCCCGATAGCAGCGATCCAGTGAGTCAGGCAGTACTGCGGCGACACAAGCACTTCAAAAAACAGAACAGGGGCCTGCAGAAATTGATGGCAGGACCTCGATGTGCACATGCGTTTGCTGTGCAGGGACTCTGAGACAGAGGAGTCTGATGACTGTGATTTGGGAGATTGCACTGAGCCTGAAGGGCTCTGGCTCTCCAGGCACCGGGGGCTCATCACTGCCGACTACTGATGTCGGCTGCAGTGGCAGACCCCCGGGGTCTGATTGGACCTGCCACTGGAATGCCAAGTGAGCCAAGGACCTGTCACCTGTCTGCGGATCAGCATCAAGTAAGCTGCCACTGTCTGACGATGAGGCTTAGTAAAGCACTGAAGGGTGGGAAAGACACCTGAATTATCTTTTCATTGACCTGTTTGGCTTTTGTGCCGACTTATGCGAAAGCAAACTTCTCATTTAAACCTTCTGGTACTTGTGAACTTTAATGGTACAACAACAAGGCCCTCTGAGATTGGAAAGATGACTGGGGTCCCTATGAATCCAATTATACAGGATGCTAGGAGCCGTGGGGACCTGTGGAGAACAGGTCCACACATGTAGATCCAAGCAGAACAGACTGATGAACTAGAATTTTTCTCTTGTCCTTTTGTAGGTGAGCAAAGAGGGAAAAAAACTGAATGGTGTAAAAGACATAAAGGGGATAGAAAATAACAGAAGCTGCTCAGTTAATAATCATTTTCTCAAGAAAATAATTTAAGTCTTAGTGTGTGCCCAGAGAGTGAAGCAGAAAAAGATCACTGAAGATGGCTTCTGCACAATTCTTGAATCATATGGAGCTTATCCTACTATGACAGCTACTGCTGTCGAGTATTGCCTGGTAACCTTGGTAATCAGAGCTTTCAAACAAAAGGCCGCGCTTGCATTACTTATGCTCAGCCTCCTCATTTCTCCTCCTCTCCATATCCAGATGGCTGCATTGTTTTCTGTTAAACGGCCTAAAACCAGAAACCTGAGGCTCGGTGAAGATCAATTCTGAACCTAATCTGTTGCTTTTCAATGATGTCATGGTACGAGAGGCTTTCATTATTGTTATGATGCACTGACCGCAGATATTAACAGCAACACAAGCTTCTTCTTAGGTCCAAACAGGAAAAGCTGCATTTATATATTATATTGCAACTTTTTTGTGGATGTGTCGACTGCATGTAAGTGAATCCAGGTGTTTCTGGCTAATACAGCACACGGTGATTCTTACATTTATGATTTTTTTTATTGCTTTCAATGCTGAAGTACCCCATAGAGCTGGTGCTCCCTACTCTGACTTGGTTACCAAATGCCAGCCCCTTGGGGGCCTTTCCTGCCCTGCAGTGCCTCAGTTGGCAACACAGCCACTCCGACCTTAAAGGGACTGACTTTTACCAGGCACCGCAGTGCTGCGAGGGTAGGTGTGACATTTGCTAATTTTCTTTGCCTATCCTAAAGGGAAGCATTTGCGCCGGCAACTGGTGTGAGGCAAGAAAACAAAAAAAAAGGGACAAATGGCTAAAAAAGTCGTTAAAGGTAGGGTATTTGTTGAAATCCTCTTCATGTTCCGATAGCCATCAATAAATAAAGTTGTCTGAAAAAAACTGAAAAAAGTTATTTTCAGACAATTTCATACATAGCTTTTTTTTACCATTTCCAACCCTAGCTTTAAACATAAAACATTTGTTAATCCAACTTTTCATATGACACAGCACAGAAGTCTTTTAATAGTTTGACTATGTCTCTGATCACAGTGTCCCATTTTTCACATGACGGTTTCATCTGTTTGGAGCATGTACTGCAGGAACAGCTCCCTTGGTGAGAATATCAATATCTGGAATTTCTTTCTTTTGACACAGAGGCTCCATCCAGATATGAAATGCTCAGATCAGAAAGAAAAGCAAATAGATAAAAGAAAGATACACATTTGTTTATGTAATTTTATTTACAATAAGTAGTATGAGTCACAGGATCCTGCTGGTTATGGTTTGCCAGTATGTTATTTAAAGGAATGATTACAGGAGATTAACATGCTCATGAATATTCAAAATGTGAAAATCCATGTTTTTACAGAATTAGCTTTGGGTGATTTACTGAATGTGCTCATCATTCACGAACCCTAACCCCTCTCTGTTAGACTCTCAAGGGTTTTAACAACAAAAAAGGGAGACAGGAAATTGAGCAGGTTTTAATTTGACCTTAACTATATCCCCTTATTCCCCCATCTTGGTTGCCAAGGCATCCATGAGGAATTGGACAATTAGTATGACGGGGCCTCTGGCGGCGTGTGAAGGTGGGAGCTGTTTCCAGCTACTTCCTGGCTGACACAGACAGGTGCACTGTGGGACGGACCTCTAAAAATAGCATGTGAGAACCAGGCATGCCAATAAATGTCCACCTCTTCCAAATGCTGTGAATCGCCACCTGAGAAAAAGGTTTTTTTTCATATTTCATCCATCAGCTTTCCCACCTTCCCCTCAAACAAAGTTTTGAGATGATTCTAGAAATTGACGCGCGCTGCCTTCATTTTTACCGACACAAATATTTCAGCTTCAGGAGAGTGATGACAGTTTTATCGGCAAAGACTATTTTTAACCCAGGAGAGATCAATCTGAAAACAACTCCGTGCAATGGAACAGATCAATGCACACACAGTCATGCTTCAAATAAGAGCTCATGGCCTATTCTGAGATCCTCCTATTTGCATCTACATGAGTTTGTATTTACAGATGAGTGTGTCTATAAGCAGCTCCGTCTTACGTAGGGATGTCAAAGTGCTGCAGCATTGACAGTATTTCTAGATGCAGAGATATCTAAGTCCTTGAAGAATTATCTTGGTTCCAACAAGGATCGTGCAAGATTACAATCTGTTACATAGTGAAAAGCTACAGGCCATTATGTTTTTAGTGTCCATGCAGACAGTCAGACCTAAGAACATATCTTTCACTCTTTAGTCCGTCTACCTGTCACTTAAAATCTGTTGCACAGGAGAGTGACCTTCATGCGTGTGCACACCCGTTACTGGATTGATTAAATTGATTCTGTGGGAAATGTTGCATCCAAAATATTGGCCGTTGCCCTCAGAGGTTAATTTGTGGTCAGATGGTAGCGGATGATGGATTCTGCTGCAACCTTGAGATATATTTACACATTTGAGATACTTTTTTAAATATGAAATGAAGTATGACTTCTTCTGTTGGATTAATTAATTTTAAACTAATAAATATTTCAGCTAAGATGAAATCAAAATGCAAAGGAGTCATGGCAATATAACTAGTGAGAATGAGGGGCATGCTATTTCCCCTCTGCCTGCTTCCCTCAGTGTGCCACTTTGAATGGCTGCCCTCTTGCTCCAGGACCGTCTGCTGGCCTGGCAGGTTGCTGTACCCTTTCATCGTTCATGCCAGCACAACAGCTGCGGGTGCCATTCCGAGACTCACTCTGTCCGGGCACTGCGTCAAAAGTCTGTGCGTGTGTATGCATTGAAGCATATAGGCTAACACTGGTATAAGCAACACAGCTAGAAATAATACAATTGACAATGTTTGTGTTAAATTTACAGTGTGTGAATGATCAAGTATTGACAATCGTCAATAGTATTGGTGGCACTGAGGCGGTGGGGGGGGCCCCCAAATCAGATTCTGCTTAGGGCCCCATAAAGGCTAGGGCTGGCTCTGTGTGCGAGTGAGCGTTCGTTTCCAGCAACCAGCGGCAGGGAGCAGCAGGTGAGTGTGGAGTGTGATTACAGAACTCAGTGGGAGCAGGCGGTTCTTTGGCAGGTCTGCCTGAAGATGGAGGAACTCGCCCGAATGCATGCTGGGAAATTATCAGCAGCAGTGACCTGTGCCATAGCCAATGCAACCTTTGCATCAATCACATCCAAGATGGAACAGACACAGATGAGAGGCATCAAATATTTATAATTTTCTCTCTGACTTTGATATTAGTCTCTCACTTTTGTCCACTCCTTCTAATTCAACCCAATTAGCTGGCTGGGCATAGTTAAGATGGAAATAAGAATTTGCTCTGTTTGTGTGCATTAAATATACGTATGTGTGCTGCGATTACTCACCGTCTCTCCCTCTTGCCCTGCCGTTCCGTTCATGGGTGGTGTCACTTCCACTTCCACGCTGGAGCTGTTCGGAAGGTTCTTATCTGCGGGACGTTTGAAGAATAATTAACGTGAAAAAGCATTAGGAGGAACAAAAGCTGTCAGTGCTCCAAATAGACACGGGAGCGTTAGTTGTCGTGACGTGCAGAGAGGTGGGAGGCAGCATGTCAGCAATGGTAAGGAGTTAACCCTTGAAAATCCTTGAGGGCAAAAAACTGTATGGTTGGCTTTATAATTGGACGAGTCTCAAAAAGTTTGAATGACAATTTCAGGTAGATATATTATCCATTAAAATTTCCATTTTGCATTGAGGGGTAAAAATATACACATCCATGTATCGAGACTAAATTCAATATTGAGTGTCATTATCAAAAAGTGTTTTCGCTTTTGAAACCCTCCCTCTGTGTATGAACGGGAACGCGCATGTTACTATCCTTGCTCTCTCTCCTTGTTTCATAGTGGCTGATAGGACTCCATTTCATTTGAGGCCAGACTTACTTAACAGCCCTTATTAAAATACAAAGTGCCTAAAGCCATGTAATCTGATGATAAAACTATAATATCTTTAATCCAAGCGTGGTTGTGACATAGTTAGTACAATTCCTGGATTGTATAATGCAATTTGATATCACCGTCGTCCGATGACCTCACTCTTTTGGTTGGATGCTGCAATATTAGGTATGAAGTGCGATATGAATCTGATCACATGCTGATAGGAAATCTTCTTTTGTTCCAGACACCAGTGACTAAATTTAAGATGTGCTGCGTAAAAGACCAGTCATGAATTTTGATTGAGATGGTAATATGTTAATAAGGCTCCGTTAGCATAATTTAGCCTTGTTGATAAACATCTAAGTCTCGCTTTGATTCTGCTGCTCAGTCGACATTGAGGGCCATGAAAGCTCTTCCTCTGGCCTCCTGTTTATCCTTTGGTCCAATGCTCTTTCAAGTGAAAAGTGCACATAAATAACACTTGGCAGTGACTGTGATTGATTTAAATACTGCTTGAAGACAACACTTGCAATCAATTTGGCAGTTCTTGATAATGTCATGCTTGTTTAACATCGGATGTGATGCTCATTAACTCTTTCAGTGGACAATCCAATAGAGCAAATATAAAGCCAGGTGATGCAACAGCAACAAAAACGGATCTTTGTGAATAACATTATAATATGTAATCAAAGTAATAGTTTAGAACAAATATAATAAATGAATAACATTGACTAAATATGTACAGTTCTAGTTGTTTACTTAATCTGAACAAAAAACACAAACTACTGCTTTTATACTTTGGTTTTGTAGGAATCAAACAAATGAGACACTGAAAATAATTTTCTGATCGTACATCCCTACTGGTAAAAAATAACCTTCTAACTGGCAGGTAGCTTTACATTTAGCAAGCAGATTATAATGTGTTCATCTTCTAAGCCAACTCAATTGACTAAGCAGGACAGCAAGTAAGTAAGTTTTACCTGAACGACTTGCGACTCCATTAGCCTTCTCACTGTCTTCCACTTGGCATTTCTTCTTCGCAATCTTGTGAAGGATGGAGGCCTTCTCTCGGAATTTACCTGCAAAAGAATCGCCACGGTGGTTATAGAATGAACACAGCAGCATCTTCGGAGCGCCCCTTTGACCCCTGACGGGTCACATTTCCAAAATGCACCATACAAGCAGGGCAGAGGTTCACACAAGACTGCCATCGAAACAAAAGCAACAGTCAATATAACATAGCATATCATATACTGATGATTCTGCAATGTCCTGGTCCTTGGAGGAAAAGCCAGCAGGGTGAGATCTGCCTCCTGGAGGTCAGACACACTCCCGTTCTTGTTCAGTTCTAAAATCAAAAAGTCAAGTGAAGTCAAAAGCTAGGCGCAGCATTTCTTTAAAAAAGTAATACAGTGAAATGAGCTGTATCTATATATCACATCATTATTAAAACTATTACGACTTAAGATAACAGATTTAAAAAAAATAACAAACGTATTTCTTGGTAGTACTGAAAGGTTCAGACTGAATTAAGACCAGTCATCAATTAAACAACATGACCTTGTGGCTTACATAAGCTGCCCTTCTGACATTATAAATAAAAGCTCAACAATTCTGCTCATGTTGTAATGACTAGCAATGACTGACCGCTGACTTTCCACGAAACCCGCAGCCAAAATCCCCCGACGTAGCACTCATAAACAATAAATCTAAAGCTGACACAAGAGGAAACATGTCTCCAAATGCAGCGAAATCATGGAGTGCAGGTTTTTCAGGTTCTCGTGTGATACAAGATAGATTTTAATATTTGATGCAAGTTCACGTGATTGTTTTCATTCGACACCAAAGAAGACTGACCAACCTATCAAGCTCTTTTGGTGTAAAACACTCTCATGCATCCATATTTAATTTCACCAACTTCCTGTGCGTGTCAGTCTTTGCATGCGTGTCCTGCCTCGTCCCAATCAGCCCTTTGCAATCAATTTGAAAGATTTTTTTTTTCATTTTAAGAGGGCACGGCTGATTTGTCAGTGCTTGACACAGTGATGCATCAATACGTACTCCACCCAGCCATGTCAACACTGTCTGTGACCTTCTGGCAAAATCATTAACCACCCCAAGTCACTACTGGCCTTCCTCCCGTCTCTTCTATCTCACTCCATCGCTTGTGTTTCTCTTGCTCATCTATCTCAGGCAAACACTGTCTTTTTCTCACTTTGTCTCCTCGATGTTTGGCAATGCAGAGCTTCCCCAACTCCCTGTCTTACGCACACAAAGACACACACATACACTGTACATGTTCACAAGACGGCATCACACATTCCTCTGCCTTGACATCACTCACCTTAAGCAGGCATTGACGGTTGGTTGTGTATGACGCTGCGAGCATGGGTTTGCGTGTTCATTCATACAAATGTGGGTGTAAAGTACAGCTAGACAAGTGGCAGGGTGTGGCTTTCTGTTGTATGTATTCAAAGGAAATTCTTTAATGTTTAAGAATCCTACTCTGGTATGTGGTTTCAGTGCTGGCTGGGAAAATATTTCTACACAACCCCATATATATGTGGCATGATATCCATTTAGTAGAACAGATTCAGATAGATTACGGTCTCAATTAATTTTGAATGAATACTCAGCTATCCTACGGCATTTCACCTTTTTAAGGTACATTTTAAAAGCATTTTATGCTTTAGTTGTGCGAGCAAATAAAAAATAAAAACCTCATCACAAACTCACAGTTCCCTAAAGCAGGGGTTATCAAACCAAGCCAAGGGTCCTCGAGGGGTTGCAGAGCACAGTATTTATTTTTTCATTCATATGTTACAACAGAATGTTTGACTATTTCAGTCCTGTGTTCTGCTTTTTCCTTTATTAAATGGTTGACTTCCCTCATTCACCCTCTTAAAGGTGTATGAGTTGTTTAAATCGCACAATTTGCATGATAATGAAGCAATTTCAAAAGCGTCTTTAAAGAACAACCGAGTCCGGCCCTGCTTGAGTCGTTCATTTTCCCTGTCAGCTCCGCCTGTTACACAACCACTGGGTGGATGAGTCACTCCGGTTTGCACAAATTCAGCAACGTAGGTCTTACGTGTGCTCACCCGCTGCTGGTGCAAGTGAAACCTCCAAGTGAGCGCTGAGGCATGGATGATGCATTTCTCAGCGGCGCAGAAGGGTAACAGGGCCAAAGAAAGAATTGTTGTTTTTTTTTGTGTGAAGAGAGTGGGCTGTGGTGGTAATACATCGCATCTGTATCTGTGTTATGGTTTAACTGCCTGAAAATATCTTCAATTTAATAGAAATCCACAAAAACACTACAAACAGAAACACACAATATCTATGGGCATAGATTTAAAATAAACCAAAAAATAAAAAAAATTGTAAAAGGTAAATAAATAAAGAAATGTCATGGCCACCATGATTTGCACTTATGTCAGTGAAATCTCAGAGAGGTTGTGGAACAAAAAGCAAAAAAACTGTGCAAACTGTACGCCACAAGCAAACTAAAAAAATGAGGTGGGGCGATAGATGTTTCATGACTGAGATGGAGGAAAAAACTGAACGGAAGCGGACTCAAAGAATCAAGTAGTGAAAACTTTCAGGCTTACCTTCCTCAGTCATTGAGTGATAATATTTTAGTTTCCCATAAGTCCCAAGCTCTACAACATCACAGCAAAAGACAAGGGTAAGGCAACGGACACACAGAGAAAAAGGAAAAGAGTGAACATGACAGAAGAAGAAGAAGAAGAAGAAGAAGAAGACAGGTCTGCTGGTTCTATAATCGCATGCTGTACGCTCACACAGGCACAACATTACACACAAACACACAGTCTCCTCTAGGTCGTCACTGCATAAGTGCAAAAACAAAGCAGCAAAGGATTGAATTACAAGGAAAATACATTATAGCTTTACAGTAATTCAGTCTGATAAAGAGCCTGCCAGTGGCACGGGCTGCTGCTATTAGAGAAGATTTGCGAGAATAAGGGAGGGAGGGAGAAGGGGTGGTCGATATAGTACCGTAACAAAAATAGACGAAGAAGAAGAGGTTCATACAATGGTGTCATTAAAAAAACAAACAGAACAGGGAAGTCAGAAGAAAATTTACTGGGTCACCATGCAACAAAAAGATGAGTCCTCCTCTCCTCTGCACACAAGCTTATTCAAAGGCTCGATGATTCAGCCATTTATTTCCACAATGAAACCCGAACAATTAATTTGATTCCCTTACTGTGGCAGTTTCCCGTGCTACTGTAAATAGACGGTCAGCACATCTGCACATGATGAATTAGCCTGGAATTCAAACCTGCAGCAAAACAGTTGAACGAGAAGCGGGCAGAGCACAGAAGACACCGGACCGCAAGGGGCCGTCTCCCACAATGCACTTTGTGGTGAAAAAGTAGCACACGTTTATAGCACTTCTCTTTCCAGGTTTCTTCACTCATAGCTTATCGTACATACTAAACAAACAAAGACTCGATTTTACATTATAATTTATATTATAGGTCTAAAATATAATGACCACTTAAAGGGTCAGTTCATCGAAGCTATCTTCTTTTCTCAACAGCTATAGTCCAGATTCTGAGATATCTGCCTATGAAATCTCTGCTTCCACTTCAAAACAGTGAGGGTGAAGGAAATTATGTTTAGGGTACTCAAACCCATAAAAAAATATAACTCCGTCTTTGTAAAGACACTATAGCTGCTTTCAGACATGCACTGAACTCCAGAGATTATCCGCACTTTCTCCAGAGGAGGTGCATGTGTCAACGCCAAGTGAGAGGCTCCGGATTATCTGTGGACTTTCTCCGCCTGGCTCACAAGGATACAGTGGGTTGAAAGTGTCAAAAATGAAAAATAAGCCAAAAAGAAAACAAATATCTCCAAGTGAAAAAGTGGTGCCAATCAAGTAGGAGACACCGATTAATGTGTCACGAGAGTTTGTGGTGATAAGAGCAGCCACCGGTGTCGGTGTGTCGCTAAAAGAAATCATGTAATCACCGCAGCTGAATTAATACACCTCTGCCTCTGTCTGCTGCACCTGGCTCCTCTCGCCTGAATGATGCAGAGGATTTGTTGCTGTTGTGAATGCGTCTGTGCAGAGAACCTCCAGCTGCATTGTTCTTGTGTGAAAGGCAAAATACACGTAAAGTCCGGAACCAATTCTCCGACCATAATTTTAGCACCACCCTCATAGCAAACACCATGTCATGAAAAATGTAGCTGTTTTAAATTCTCATGGTCTCTCCTTCTGGCACTCAGCTCCTGTGTTTATGTGGTGCATGTGTGACTCTCTTACTTTTAAATAAACATTAAGCAAATCAAATGCGTTTTATAATTTTAGTCACAGTCTCCTGAAGAGTTTTCTGCGTGTAGTGGGTGTGCAACACGAGCACTTTGTATGACCACATGCCCACATGCACTAATACCCGCCTCTGCCCAACAGTGGGCGACCGCTCCACTCACATGTGAGAGGATTATGGTGCGAATCTCGAGCCAAATGCGAGACTTGGCAGCCCTGAAAACACAATCTAATGAGATAAAAACAAATCCTGCTCCCATCACAGTGTCTTGCTTGTCTGCTGCACTCCCAGACAAGTACCGCAATCCCATATGATTAGGCGACTTGGGTTTGAAGTGCACTGTATGAGGCCGGTCTCTGACTTGTGCTACTCTAAGGGGGAATTAACCCACAACACAATCACCACCACCACAGTCGTCTGTTTGAGAGACGAAGAGAGAGAGGGGGACTTGTTGTTGTTTACCAGGGGCCCTCTTGTCCTTGTTGCGTGACCTCTAAACCTCTGGTGAGCTGTGTACGAGACAGTGTATGCGTGTGTGTGCATGCCCGGCCTGTCTGCTGGGGGTTGGTGTGACAGGAAAATTCACAGTCTGTGCTGAGGCAAAAAGGCTTTTAACATTGATTCTTTCACCCGCCCAGCACAGGGCGGCTCAGACGGCGGGGGAGATGTGTGTGTGTGTGTGTGTTGGTGGAGGAGTATGGTTGGAGGGATCATGAGTTACTAAGTGTAGTCAGCTGGCCACAGTTACATAACATACTGGAGGTGCGATTATCTATCAAAACAAAATTTAAAAAAGGGAGGGCAAGGTTTTCAGGCAATAAGGGAGTCCCCATGAATATTATCACATATTAAAGGAATAGTTCAAGATTTTGAGAAACACGCATTGTTTGCTGAGTTAAATGAGAAGATGCATTCCTCTTTCATACATGTCCCTTTAATATGAAGTTGGATACAGCGGTAGCTTAGCTACAAGCATCTTTCGAGTAATAGCTTAATATTTATAGCTAAGATAATATAGCACAGATAATATAGTGGTGTTGATCCACACCTCTAACTCTTGAAATTTCCCATTTATATAGATTCATTGTGTATAGACTCCGACAGAGTATTTTATTTGACTGTACATCTCCTGTCATTAGGGTTCCAGACATAAATGCATAACAAAAACATTATAGATTAAGAATGAATGAAACAAGGGCTCATTAAAGTCCAATTACAATGCAAATTCAGTGTATAGTTTTCAATACACATGAAGATGCCACCTTTTGACACACTTGGTGTCTGTGTCATATTTAATGTATTGTACAAAAGTGTTACGAGAACAGAAGTAAATGGAGCATAAACCTACAGCAGCATATCAATATATATGAATAAATGGAAAATATATATCCGTTGCACAAGGGGTTGGAGGTCAGCAACAGTGAGTGCATTATTGAGCTGTGAGATCAATGGGGCCCTGGGTCACAGACAGTACTGCTGGTGAGAGGAGAAGGCAACAGTACGGGGCAAATTGGAAATGCTGGCTGGATTCATAGATTTACTTCTAGCACTAAATGAATATTAAAATAAAAAAAAGTAACAGGAGAGAGAGCCATGATGTAACGTTGAGTTTCATCTCTTTTTGGTTTCCTCATTTGACTATTTACAAGGAGGACTTGTGGTTGAAGGGATAGTTCACTGAAAAATGAAAATGCACTCATTATCTACTCACCACTATGCCGATGAAGGCATGGGTGAAGTGTTTGAGTCCAAAAAACACTTCTGGAGTTTTAGTGGTAAACTTTGTTGCAGCCGAATCCGATACAATTGAAGTCAATTGGATTTGGGAACTCTTTTCCGTGAACTCTCCTCTTAAACGTCTGCTCGATAAGAATGACCCGACATCTAAGGTTCATGGCCACATTGGCACGTTGAGCAATCCATCCAGGATATCTCAGTGAGGTAATGATCGGCAGGGAAGCATCTGATGAGATGGCTGCTCGGCTCCATCATATTTAAAGCCACGCACTGCGTCACACAGCAGGGATGTTACATAAAAACGAGCGGAGACTCATCAGATATCTGACCTCAGTACCAGCTATTAATATTATCTTGGTTCTGATTGAATATTTATACATTTCAATACATATAAACCACTACATTGAGAAGGTGTGTATAATGTACATGCTCAGCATTTTCTTATTTAATTTTAATTTTTTATCTTTATTCTATTGCCTTTTCATATTTCTTTATTCTCAACCTCATTCTGACTTACCTGCTGCTGTAACAACCAAATGTCCCTGGTGTGTGGATGACTAAAGTTTTAGTTTATCTTATCTAATCTCATTTCATTAAATTTCCACAACTAAATGTTTTGTGGTCATACACAGGCGTTCGTTTTTTGGGGGTTTGAGCCAAAGGCGCGAGCCTAGCCTGAATACTGAGTGCTGTTTAAGGGGGCCAGTCATCCACTGAGGGCTCAGATAGTAGACTGAGAGCCACTCTGCCCGTCTCCCTCCCCAGCTCTCTCTTTGGTTCAATATTTTATGCCACTCCTAAGCGATATTGTCTGTTGCTCCACACTGATGGAAAAAGAGATGCGGTAACTTGTACCAGGAACTAACTGTACTAGACTATTTACAGTGTTTTCTCCCACGGAAAACATGCTTGATGAAGGTCTCATTAAACTGAGGGACCGAAGAAATGGAAAGTTGTTAAATGCTAAATAAGCATCTACTTCTCTTAAGTTGACATGTGGTATTGCTATGGCCTAATTGTGGCCCAGATCTGGCAGACAGGAGCAGACTGCACAAGAGGCATCATTCCATGCAGTTTTTGGGCTGGATGACAGTGTGGGCCTAATCTGGGCAAAAAACTATTTTGCTATGTGGGAAAACGACTTTACTCTATGTTCCCAGTACTTCAGTTCCTTAACTCAGCACAAAATCGAGAGAATCTCCGTTCAAACTCAATAAATGCAGCGTAAAAGACCTTCCAGAATCCTCATGAACATAGAGTAGAGGGACGGTGTTGGCAGGAAAACTCAAACCACTGGTCTGGGACCTCTACCTGTGTCACAGAGAACAGTAACACCAAGCTAGAACAACAAGCAGTTCATAAAAGGAGAGAGAGGATTAGGGATAATGATGAAAATCAATGCAGAAATGGTCACAGAGGGTTTCCAGGGAGAATACATCCACAGAAGAGAATGCGATATTTGAAAGGAGACTGTAGGGATGGACAGTACAGAGTTGACATACAGCACAGCGGCGCTTAGGGAAATGTATACATAAGGGATACGTAGGGCAAGAGACTTCTCTCCAGGCTGTTGGAATGAGAACAAACAGTTTTTTTTTCTGCGGAGGGAAGGTTGGGGATACAGAAATTAGAGGAGTAACTCACCAGAGTCAGCAAATTCTGAGGGGACAGTAGAGGAGAGATAGGAAGACAGAAACAGAGAAAAAATAAATCCAGGTGATCTTTGGTTTGATAGGGTACATGTAAGCATTGATAGGTATTATATCATGACGAGAAATGTGTGTGAAATGTTAATTAAAAGAGTCATTTTATTGTGCTGGCAAAGCAGAATTTTGAAGAATTATTAGACATTTTTGGGGGGGAATGATTTGGCCTCCTTACTGATATCACTCTCATGTGATAAACATGTCAAACTTCTTCTTAAAGTGAGACGCACATACACATACGTTCATCATACATCCGCAAACATTCATCAGGGTTTTTCTCCCGAATACATTATTTAAAATCTTGGTCACATTTCGTGGTGCCATGCCAAACCTGGCCATGTTTGCAATCCAACCTCTGCCAACAAAGCAGGATAATACTCTCATTATAGCTGACCTGTAATGTGGCAAACTAAACATTTAAACTGTCTTTGGTAAGTCACAATATAGATTAATTGCTGCAGGAGGACGGGAGTAATGAAGCAGTGAAGAGTACATTGGAAACACAAAGACACACAAACAGGCACTCACACCTCTAACTACGCCCACTTTATAAGCCTCAAAAGAGAACGGCAACCACTTCCCAGCACTAGCAAAACAACCCTGGACTCTGCTTCAGCTCAGAAGCGAAGATGACTTTATTTTGAGAAGCAGCCTATGAAAAATGTATGGACGGAGTCCTGCCAGCTCCCGTGTGGCGCCGCTGAGCTACACTTAAAGCCTAAGAGCAGGCAAGGACAAGCTGCACAGCCTCCATCTTTGATGGATGCACCTGTTCCGTCACAAACAATGTGCTCCTTTGCATTAATATCTGTAACTGTGCATAGGACACGGTCACTAGAACCTCACAATCAATGAAATTGTTTAACGCTTTAAAACAAATACAGCCCGTGATGTCTGTCGTTCCATGTTCACTGGAGCAGGTGAAAACTTTCCAATGCGCTAAATGGAAATTTCTAAATAATATATTCAAACCAAGCTGGGGCCCGAAGGGTTGCTTTTGTTCTCTGCGGTAATTAATTCAATCCTCGCGTCATGTCACACTGCAGTCGTTGTTTCAGTGCATTCATTTCCAGTCTGTAATTTGCCAAAAGATTCATCAGTGAAATGTGGTAAACTAACATCCTCACATGTCTACTGTTTCTCACTGAAGCCAAAAATTGCTGTTTTAACCATTTTAAATCCAGATTCAATTCATTTTTATGATGTCAGACAAGTAGTAAATGCATCTCTCTGACATGATCAGTGCATGTTGGATGTGCCTATGGAGACCATATGACAAATAGCTCTACATGGAGGGGCAAGGTGGAGTATATGTATAGCCCTCTGTTGCACATTTACAACCAGCCATACCGACTTCCATTCTCCCAGCAGGCTACGATTTACATTTTAATCACAGAGATGGAAAAATGAATACACTCAGACGCTTTGGATTCTGTGTACGACAATGATTTGATGCATGGTAATGGGCTCTTTAAAGTCCGGCTTGGCATGGCTTATTAATCTTTCCTGAGCTGACTCATTTGGGGTTTGGCTTTCAAGGAATGCAAAGTCATTTCAGAGAAAGCTGAATGCCTGCTAATGTTTTCTAATGCAGTCTTATGCAGCCAGAGGGGGGGTATAGAGTCTGACTAGACAGTTTTATGCAATATATCAATGGCTTTTGGACCTTGTCCTGTTCAGCAACACCGATGCTTTAAAACACTGAACATACATTTCTGTGAGAACTACAGGAAAAAGGGGTTCGAACAAAGACATCATCCAGTAAACTGGTATTAGCTTTCAACATTAATATTCATATTTAAGGATTAGGATTCATGACATCATGAGATGTTCCTTCCACACTGAATTCAAACACCTTTCACCAAAGCTCCAAAACAAGACTTCTGATGACAAATTATCCAAACCCTACTTAAACCCCTGTTGCCTGCCCACCCCCCCTCCACACCATTAACATACAGTTTTTCTTAATCTTTTTCATGAGAGTGGGATGACACTGCACCTCCCCTGCCGTATTAACATATTCATCCCCTGTGCCGAGCACTGACACTGCCGTTTTACATTTCCTCTAGCTAAGCTAATGGGCCTTCATCTTGGATTAAAGGAAAATGATCTTCAACCTCGGCTCTGCTCTGACACAGCACTAAGCTTGTCTCGTCTCGTATGGACCGTTTTTAAAAATGGATCGATTCAGTCTTGGCATACAGCATACAGGCTAAAAAAAAAGTTTTTCTGGATGTTGATGGTGGCGACTCTGGATTTTAAGGGCACATGGTCTTTGCAATGATTAAAGCTAATATTTCCATTTCCAGTAAATGTAGTTTTCAATACCTTGTTCACATTTCCATTACATCTGAAAACAGAATTCAGGTAATTTCAAGAGGGAGAGAAAGGAGGTGGTCTTTGAGACTTGAGAGATGTGTCATCGTGTGCGGTTTGATCGTCTTACCTTCACTTAGAGGGTCTAATGTGTGAATCATGAGCTGGAAAATGCTGTTCCTCATCAAGCTGTTGTGCAGGGAGGCAGAGCTACCCCCCCTCTGCAGCCGAGGCCTCGCCTGCGAGATGAGAAACAAGGTGTGAAACATCCTGCTGCTTAGGATAGGGCTCTTTAAGTACCGCATGCTTTCTCCTCATCCAGTAACTGGTTCTTATTTTTGTCATAAAGCAAATCAGCCCTTCTCAAACACTACTTCTTATTTATTAAGCACACAATGTAAGTTTATTTCATTAACATTATAAAGTATGATCATTTTACATACTTGTGCTGGACTCTTGTTCCTTTAAAACATTTTAAGCTCAGAGATCAGGATTCATGTTACTGCAACATTTGTTCATGCATATGCTCCCCCACCTCCAGTCATGCTACTGGTTGGAATAAGATTCCCTAATCCTCTTTTGCATAAAACCCCTACGCAGAAGTAAAACAAGCACAGAGCACCACAGCATCTTAGAAAACATGAGTCCCATGTTCTGACACAGGCATCTGCAGTTAAAGTGGCTTTTCTCTCAAAGCCAAGGTCACACCTGCAGTTCAAGCTGAACTTGAGAACTGTGGGAAATTAGGCACCGTTGCAGGCGGCAGCTGTTTGGAGTGTGTCCGCCTTTGGTTGCACACAGGTAATGCATAAGCACAGGAGCTGTCGGGTGCTAATTCACAGGCTCATATGGGTCAGAGAGGGAGGGAAGGGAGACATGTGGAGTGGCATGGCGTGCGTTAGGGTCTCGGAGCCGTGGCTTCTCAATGTGACCCTGACGATTCTCCTTCTGCTGCTCCATTTTATTTGCTTCCTTGACGATGCAGGTTCAATTTCTGATATTCTTTGGAAATATAGAAGCATTAGAAGAGTCTTAAGCTTTCTCTGAACATGCAGCTCCCTTGATTGTCTTTAGCTTGCTGTGTATAAAATGTAATTGTCACATAAAACAGGTTCAGAAAACAGACAGAGCTGCTCTCTGCACACGGGGAGGCTGAAGGTTAGAGATAACGGTGCACGTCTCGTTCACAGTACTGTGGGGGATAGACAAGTTATGCTACTACATCTACATAGAAACGGGGACAAACATTGAAGCAGACAGGAAGAGTGTCAATCAGACAGGACCTACCGACAGCTTGCCGTCATCCTCTGGTGCCCCAGGACTTGCCTTCTCATCCAACACAAAGAGAAGACGTAGTAAAAGTGGGAAGAGGGAGAGAAAGAGAAAACAGGACATAGATGTGAAGCATACCACACGCAAACCACATAGACAAGACAATAGATGATAAAGAGAGACATTAGGACACAGTTACAGAGATGGTGATGACTGACTGTGATGGAAGTGGACAAGACTTGTGGGACAGATTCCTCCCCACTACTGTGGCTGCCCACTGTGTCAGTCGCAAGCTGAGCGAGATTAGACTGCGTCGACTTGCATTTCCTTGAAATTCACAATTGACTCAAGGATGTTGACTCATATCAATTCCAGGCACAATCACAGTAGCTGTAAAAGAGTAATGGTGATGATGAAGGATAAGATTCGATGTTCACTAAGAGAGGACTCTGTATAGGAAATGTAAAGTCACCACTAGCAGCCAGTTAGATTTAGTCAGTGAGGGATTTAGGATTATTCGAAATCAGGGGCAATAAAGGGGCCACAATCAAAAAGTGAAGCCAAAGCACTATGTTAGTGGATGGGCATGGATCACACCAAAAAAGCCAAAGTTCTCAAAGACAGTTTCTGTCAGTTTGGATATTTTTTAATCACACTGATGTTTGTCCAAGTGCTCATTTTTAGTTAGTCAGTATTTTATCTTTTCTCATCTCTATTTGCAATTTATCTTCTTGTCTTTGGTATTTACTCTTTGTAAATTTACGAGATTTACAATAGCATTTCCTCAGTGGGCATCATGTTTATTGCTTTTGTTCTGGCCACGTGCTCAGCTAATGACATGAATGTTCTTATCTTATTAGTTCTGGCTAAACCTGATGAAGTGTAACTGCCTCAAAAGTCTAAACTTCGCCTGTGAGAGTGGGTTTGTGCCACATCGTGTTAAACTGACTCCAGTCTGTTAACAATCACTCAGTTCTCTGCCATCGTTCTCAGCAGGCCTTTTTTTGTGCCATGTGCAGCACTGTAACACGGTCTATTTTTGAAACAAAAGCCTTTCACCAACTGTCTGATAGAACTGCGCTCACTTAATCTCCAAAAAACACGAGTGTGTGTAAAATAACAGTCGCTTAAGGCCTCTGTTTTCAACTACAAAAACAAAGCTTTTGTTCAGATCTAAGCATATCCAGTCTTTGTTTCGCAGCCTACACAGGTGTCATACAGTGATGTGTAGAACTTTTGGATAAAGTGGAATAATGCAACCATTTTTTAATTCTAATTGATCTTGTGGATTTTGAAAATGCAGGGTAAATATCAAAATTTTACAACACGGCCTTCGGGCTTGTCAAGTGATTCATCTGCATGCTAAATGACAGAGCATTGCACTGAATCGCAAATCTCTGGATGACAGGAAGGGGGAGTGTGGTGTTAACTTCAGCTCATGAGGTGAAAGCTTTCGTGGGTGTTAACATTCTTCACGACAGATTTCTGGATTTAAAAAGACAATAATTATTTGGACTCCTTTAGTTGGCTCTCAAATCAGAAAAATCTCAATTTTTAAGAACATTTCTGGGGAGCTGGGTTCATTGTGAACATCATCACCCACTGTGCTCCGCTGATCAACAGCATTTTCTATGCATTATGCCAGTGCAGAGCTGCCGACAGAATTTGAGCTAATACAGATATTTTCCATGTAGCAAGTCAACCTCATAGTCCCCCTATTTTATGTCTCCAGGGAAATTCATTGCAAGGTATAATTATTCTGTTTTATTCCTAACCACCATCCTCAAAGGAAAATCAGTAGGGTTAAGGGGGGGACAGGTGAATGTGCCAGATAGAGATTACACCCGCGGGTCGATCATTAAGCCAGCGTTAAATATTATGACTAATAATCACATAGGGAGATTAGCATGTTCCCGGCAGTTTGTGTGTTCTCTAATTCCAGCAGCTCTGCCGTACAGTTCTTACATAATGTCACATCAGAATCATTCTTGGAAGCGGATCAGCTGAGGGAAATAAATGTTCCTCTGCAGCCGCATGCATGTAACAACGCGCTACAGAGAATTATCGACCGACAGTGTGACATCAAGCAGAAATACTTCCGCTTTCAGCACTCAAATTGCCCACAGCTTAAAAAAAGGAGGGGGGAGGGGGTGGAGGTCAGGAGGAATCGAAGCGCGCTGTTGAAACGCTGAGAGCGGAGCTGGAAGTCCTGACTTTCGAACATCAGCGGCGGATTATACATCTTCTCATATGAAATCTGACGGGACACAAAAGGAGTCTATTTCTGGAGGAATTTGATTTGCATTTTCCTTTTATGCTTCGACATCCAAGCCAAATTACTTAGGAGAAGAATAGCCTCTAGTTTGCCAATGGTTCATTAAATCCATCATAGCTGTGGTTTATCCCTTAAATCCTTGATTTACTCCTTAATATACCCTAGATATATTAAAAAATACAGGAATAGTACTTAGCATTACTTTTCAGCAATCTATGAGCCACTTTCCATATCATTTCCACCATGTCTGTTTCAGTGCTACTTGGAGTTTGCAGTCATCAAACAAAAGCAGAGGATGCTACTTCTAACTGTCACTCTAGATCCAACTATACTGTAATTTCCAGAGCATTAAATCAAAATTCCAAAACGCACACAGCATCGCATGTAAATTAACACAACCGTTGTGCCAATTTGCCAATTTGGAAAATATCTTTGATTTATTTTCAAGAGATGCATGAGAAAAATGAATTACACTCATGTCTGGATGTAAAAAATTAAGCTATTGCTGGGATACAGTGAGCTTAGCTTAGCTTAAGGAATGGCAATCTAAAAGCAATGATATGATCCATGGGCAAACTGTCCTTTTAACATTTTGGGTTTTGTATAGACTTAAAGGAACATATGTAATTGTTTAAATTGGTGAGTTTTACATGTGCTGATTGGTGGATTTCGGTACTTTTGAACTGAACGAGCCCACAGTCGCCATTTTATCCGTCTTACAGTCTTTATGCTTAAGCTAATGAACAAAGTTGCAGACATGTGAGTAAATGGAGCATCGTGTCAAGCCCCTGCTCTAAATTAGTTTTAATTATTTTTTCCGAGACTGTAAGAATAACATGGAGTTATTGAGTACACTTAAGCTACTGCACAAAGAGCTGTTCACCTAATTATTCAGAGTTTGATAAAATCATCTCAGAATGCTGAACCCCAAACTCGAGAATCAGTTGTCTGTCTGTTGTCTGTCATTGCTGTGAACATGCTGTTACATGAGTTTTTTATATATTGGGAGTATCCCGTGGCCAAATTTGACACTGCACTTCCTTGGGCTCCTAACAATACACAAGTGTAAAACCGTTAAGATCAACGGTTCTCAAGATATGTGAGTCACATACAGACAGATTTCAATCAAAATTTCTTCAACCCTTAAAATGTATTTTAAAGGTTATCAAAAGACCATGTGGAGGAGAATAAAGTGCACAAGCCAAGCATGAATCTGAATTAACAGGATAGAAGGGATGGGAAAGAAAAAGCTACATTACAGAAGAGCTGACATTTCTTGCATGACAAATCGTACTGAAACTTTGGTGGCTGTGGATTTTCTATTAATAAAGCATGTGTCAGCTTGCGAATGTAAAGATCAGTGAAAACTACACTGCCCGGCTTGTTACGCAAACTGGAAAAGTGAAATCTTGCACAGCTCGGGGCGCTTGCCTTTACGTGTGCTTACAGTCAGCCGCCTGTCTGTCAGAGCATGACAGGGCGCCCCTCGAGATTTGTCCATCTAGATTCATCGCGTTAGAGCTAAACTGTTGAGCAGCACGACGAAGCAGCATCTCCCTCTCTCTCCCTCTCTCTCTTTCCCATTTTGCCTGGAGGCGATAATGATGATCTTCGAGGAAAAGGAGGGAAAAGATGCACAACAAGTCAAGAAGCCATCCACTTGCTAATTAGTAACCCCTTCATTTTTTCTAACAAGCAGAACTAATTACAGGAGCTGCCACGACGCTGATTTCCCACAAGGCAGCGCTCATCAGGACTGAGCCAAAATTGCTTCCTCTTACCCCCCCACCCCACGAACCAATCAGACTCAGGCTTTTGGGAGACTAATGGGAGAAGAAAAACTGCTGTGTCATTTTTGCAAGTGACTGTAATGACACAGAGCGGAGTTTAAACAGGCACCCGGTACGTTTCCCCTTCCCTTAATGATAATGTTACAAATGTGGTGATGCTTCAGCGAGAGCATGAAGTGGAGTAATGACCTCCTGATCAAACCCGCTGTTTGTCATTCCCGTTAGATCAGTGCTGGTTTTGATCGGCGCAGGCGGTAAACAACACAAGGCCGGTGTCTTCTTTGCTGACGAGATCGTAACAAACAATGAAGAAAGTTTCACCTGTAAATCTGCATTTTTATCCTGCGCCGTGTCGAACGCGCTCCCACTGCGGCACGCTCTGCCCCAGATTTTTATTTAGCTGCCCTCGCCTGTTTATCTGTACGCTCCGATATAACTTACTTCTTGTTTTTGGTTTATGTTTATATGGTGCTGCTATTTCCTGATGCTGAGACTTTCATTTTACAGAGCGAAGGGCTTTCTCAACAGCAACAACCAGACCACACTCCATTGTTGGTAGTGGTCCATCTCTAGTTGCCCTAAGGCATTTGCAAAGGCCTGCTTTTTTCCTCCAGGTATTGGTCACAGGGATCAAATGTGGCCTCCACAGTACTTTCCAGCTTTCACAGTATTTTGTTTAGTCTGCCATTCAATGTTTTTAGGGTATTATGTGTGAATCTTGATGAAAACATTAAGACTTATTTAAGTGGTTGGTTTCGATGAGTGTGCAATAAAAATGTGGATCTCGTGGATTTAAAGGTGGTGTCAAAGGGGTGTAGGCTATAGGGTGAGAAACCTACTTCTTGGTGGGATCGATTCAGTGCTTATTTTGGTCATAAGATTTCTTAAGAATGACAAGGGGAGAAAATATTAACAGTCTCATCCTTTAGTTTTATTGTAGTTCTGCAGTTAAATCCTACTAAAATATCATGGTAACCTGGTCCAGATCAACATGATAT